GCCAGGATATCTTTCATTAGATAAGGGGTCCAAAACTGTCTACACTATTCCAGCTGAAGTAGTACCTTGTACAATTTTTGCAATAGTTCCCTATTTTTATACTTCATTCTCTTTAAATGAAGTCCAATATTCTATTTGCCTTCCCTATTACCCACTGAACTTGTGTGCTAGATTTTAGACATTTATATACAACAACTGCCAAATCCTTCTGTTCTCATAGCTTTCTTCAGTCTTTCTCCATTTAAATAATATTCAGGTCCTCTATTCTTCCTTGATGTTTGTAGATTCTTTCCGGATCAACATGTTCAGAGATGTTATTACACACCTCTGGAGCATCGAATTGAACCTGGGTCTCCTGACTCAGAGGTAGGAATATTACCACTGCTTCCACAAGACCCCCTTCCTTGATATTTTTAAAGTCACATTTGACTCTCGGATGAGAGTGACAGTGTCCTCCTTACATCTTGTTAGTAACAAGAGGGATCTGGGTGACCTCCTACGTGAATCATAAACGTTAGCATGCAGATTCATCATGTAATTAGGAAGCAAAACAGAATGTTGATCTCTATTGCTGGGGGATGGTGAATAAATATACAGCTGTACAGGTCATTGATAAAACCACAGCTGGAGTACAGTGTATGGTTTTGATGGTCTTATTTAAGGAAGAATATACTTGCATTAGAAGCAGTTCAGAAAAAAATTGAGGCGGATTCCTGGGATGAGGGTAATGTCTTATGAGAAATGGATGAGCAGCTTAGGTTTATATCCATTGAAGGTTAGAAGAATGAACAGTGATCTTCTTGTAACATATCAGATCCAGCTCTTCCAGCCATCCATCTCTTGTTTCTTATGTTCTTAAGAATAAACAAACAACATGAGTTGAATGAACTTTCTCATATAGAAGTCTGATCCAGACCAAACAGATTAATATTTAATTTACTCCAAGCATGAAATATTCTTCAGTTATTCATATTTATGTTGTCTAGTTCTCTGAATATTGTCATTCCAGTATATCTTGAATTTTACTTCATGCGCTATCAATTGTTACTACAATAATAGTTATATTTTAGATTCAAGTTCAGAATGAATAACTGACTGAATATGATCAAATTAGATGATCTTTCAAAAAAACTTAGAAGCCTTTAGTTGTGCATTTAAAGATTTGCCAGCGTTCAACCTGAGTATTTTTATCTGCTTTAGACAAAGTAATGGGTATTTTACAGTTTTAAATTATAGTATACTTTGGAAGTGCATAAAATTTAATGGGGCAAGGGAATTGTATTGTGGAATATGTAGAAACGTAGCACCAAATCACAGTGAGCCCACACCCTCAGCCCTTAGTGAAGATGTATACTAAAAGAAATATTAAAATGCCAATTTGAAGCCAAAAGACTATAGTTGCAATAACAACAATTAAGCTATTAGATTTGCAGAATAAGTGTCATTGTGACAATCATTACTTTGATTTTATCTTATCTTTTAATCATTCTAAAACTTGCATTTCATTGGACTGCAATGCATGTCTTTGCATTTTCAGTCCAAGGAGTGACATACTGACCTATCCCACTTATGGATGGATGTGACAACTGCCTACTGTGTAAATGGGGCATGGTTTGCCTTCCCCTGCCCGTTTTGCAGTATCAGGGACCTGTCAGAACAGAAGTGCGACTCTACATTTCCAAAAACACCTTGATTTGGAATCTTCTTGTAAAAATGTGGAGCTTTATTTTGTGTTGAGAAGGTGCAAAGTTGCATTCTGCGTAGGTTGCTACTCCTTGGAAAATCCAGCTCAATATAACTATGGTGGTGTGGTACAAAAGAAAATTAGATTTTGAAGATGCTTTCAAAGTCCACAGGTAGTAGCAGGAGCTCCGTTCATACCTCAGTTTTGTTTATGAAAGCTATATTAAGAAACTACGAAACTCAGAGTGACATTGAAATTGAATCACCAAATGCAACTCATTAAACTTGTGACCAGGCAATTAAATCTGAATCAGAAAAGATAACATATATTATATCAGCAGCTCTCAGGGTGAACAGATCCTCTCACATCCCCTGGTCACCAAGATGGCTGACATGTCACCAACTTTAAATTTGGCTGCCCTGTATGAGAGCCTGAAGGGGAGGAATTGCGGAGAACTGCGGCAACTCTATACTCCAAGAAGCCACTAGTGGTAGCTGCTGGGACTACACATTGTAGGAAAAGCATGGATACCAATCTTTAAGGTAAGTTCAGATGTTTTGGCTGAGGAGGGATCAGAGACCTAAACAAGAAAGGCAAAGTGTGTGTGGATTTGGGTTTTAGAGGGGGCAGGTGGGGGGTGCAGGGAGAGGGATGTATCACCTTGCGGGGGAAGAATGTGCCCCAGTGGGCACAGAAGATTCCCCCAAAGAAGCACTCCACTTCCTTAGGGCTATCTCTATGCTGTGAAATATGCCTGGCTGGCTTTTTTGCTTCTACTTTTCCCAGCCCCACACATCACAGTGGAGGTGAAATGAAGTACCTAATGGGTCTTCTGACAGCCTCAATAGCCGAAGGTCAGTAATATAAGAGGTAGGTCAGTAATGTAAGAGGTGGTTCAGTAATATAAAAGGTAGGTCAGTGATATAAGAGATAGGTCAGTAATATAAGAAGTAGGTTAGTAATATAAAAGGTAGGTCAGTAATGTAAGAGGTAGGTCAGTAATGTAAGAAGTAGGTCAGTAATGTAAGGGTAAGTCAGTAATGTAAGAGGTAGGTCAATAATGTAAGAGGTAGGTCAGTAATATAAAAGGTAGATCAGTAATATAAGAGATAGATCAGTAATGTAAGGGTAGGTCAGTAATGTAAGAGGTAGGTCAATAATGTAAGAGGTAGGTCAGTAATATAAAAGGTAGATCAGGGTGGATGGGAATGCAGGGGTTGATGACCCGCTTTATTGTATATGCCACCCCCCTTCATATACTTCACTGAGGTTGCGTAAATTGCACCCTATACGCTTATCCAAATGAGCTCTTGTAAAATATCATCGAATTAGCAAGCTCAGCAGCTGCATTAGGAGAGATGCTGTGAAATGTAAAAGTAGCAAGTGACTGCAGACCTAAAAAAAGATGTGGAGGAAAGACCACCCAAACAATTGTTACTCTGTACCATGAGTTTGAATTATAATGTTGTAATTCCCATACCAATAACTGCATATTTCTATAAATTGTATTCCAAAATTGTCTCTTGTTTTCTGGACTTAACCAAGAGATGTAGTGATTGCTAAAATAAATAATTATTCCTTCTTGTCCTCAACTCAATGCTTTACAAAAAGCAATTTAAAAAATCTTTTCAAATTTGTAAATGGTAAATGTTCATTCAAATGTGAAAGCTGTTGAAAAGTTTTTTTTAAAACTGATTTAAAATAGATTATAACATGAGGTCTAGATGTTTGATGCACAACTCTGTGGCTGCTGTAATTCTAAATTTGTTCATATTGTAGAAGTAGAAAAATGAAATTGATACAACGGAATCCAGCACGGTCAGATCACTGCAGCCCTCACTCCTTTATGTTCTTGGTGTCAAATTCATTGTAATAATGATTGAGGAAGGGGTGTGGGGGGTGAGTGGGAGATGGTGTTCGAACCACATTCCATACACCCTCTCAAAAAGAATGAGCAAGCGATTCAGGAATTCCTACATTTCATTCTCATGCCATTATTAGAATGGTATTGAGAACGTGTTGCCTACTCACCTCTTAAGGGAATGTATCATCTGGAGATACCAACTGACAGACCAATGGAAATAAATCATTGAGTGAATATAAGTAATCCAAAAGTAAGAAAATGCCAGAATTGTAACATTACAGTTTGATAGTAGATAGCTTTGAAACAATTACTAAGCATCATTGTACTTGTTGAAAGTGTGTGGATAACAGTGACATATATAACATCAATATTCTGGGCCTTGTCAAAATGTTATAAATTTGTCCATTATATTTAAACAGGTTACTATTCCCTTTTCTGAAGTAGTGGACACGACAACTTCATAACAATATTCTAATCATACATATCCTATAATCCCATAACATAATTTTAAGGTCATAGACTTTCAACGTTTGAATAGAAATTAGACGGGGCTAATTTGACTCAGAGCTGTGCAATCAACATGTGTCTGAACAGAGAGACTGACACTGTGCAAAATAGGTTTGGGGAATGTACTGCACCTTCAGAATGATGTTTTGGAGCAGTTACTTCACACAGGCAGTTCACTCTACAGTAAGAATAACTTTCAGACTCTGGGCCTGTCATAAGTGAGGGAAAAGTGTCAGAACTGGCAAAGTAGGTGTTGCGCCATCATCAGAACCACAGAGTCAGGAAGTAATCCCATTCTCCCTCATTCCAGAGAGAAAATCTTTACAAGCTTACCTAGAGTTTACTTCCACAGAGGCATCAGAAGTAGAGGGAGCATTGGCCAAGATTCATCGAGGGCTGCCTACAAAATAGCCCTCACATATTCACATTAGGCCCAAAGCCTTGCACAGGCTGACTTACTGCAAAATTGATATGCTGTGAACACCAATTATATTCCCAAGAATATATGAATACTTCTACCAATTTCTACACGAACATCTATAACAAAGCAAGCTGTTAGATCTTCTAGGTCACCCATAACTCTGTTGGCTTACTTGAGAAGTCGATATCTGAAAGCAATAGAATTTCTTCCCTCCAAGATACACTTAAAATGAGTGGATATTTGCACTATCATAGAAAACTAATGTTACAATATTTATTATTACTATATTAAAATGATTCACTTATGTAATGACAAATGCACTGTCTTTGTACTTTTAATAAAGAGGTATAATCCCTACAGTAATATTGTTATGAGAAATAAAAACCAGCTCCTTTATGATCACATATTTATAATGTATAAAAATTCCCATGATTTTGCTAGGAATGTTTCAACCTAATTCTTTGAAGTTCAGTTTAAAGTTGATGATGAATATATAATAATCCTGTAAAAATATATGTCTTTAGTTAAAGGAATCCTATAAAGAACTCAAGAAGAAGTTTAATAACTTGAAATTTAATTATCTGAAGAAAAATGAAAAATTCCGCAATCTGAAAGCTGTCCGAAATCAAATCCAGCAAGTTGAAATATATACTGAAAAATTTGAGGTAATGCTATGAACCTATTTTTGTTAGATTTTAAACCAATGAACTGAAGACATTTGGTGTACTTTACTTTTTGTTACAGGTGTCTAATTTATATTGTGTTTTCTGTATTAAAAGATATTCAAAAAGAAAATGATTCAGTATGTGACAAAAGGCACTACTGTGCTGGAAAAGCACGTCCCGAGAGCGGAAGTTAATGTACTTGAAGAAACGATGAATGAAGTTCAGAAACAAGTGAATGACCTTGACAAGACAGTGGAGGAATACAAACAAACCTTGGACATGACGATGCAATTACAACAGGCAATGGAAGAGGTAGATATTATCGTACTACTGTACAATTAGACCTTACTTAACATATTGTCTTACTAGCAATGACAAAGAAATGATGATTATCATGGTTGAATATTCAGTTGTTCAATCCTCAATTGCTTTCTGCTCTTCGTTAACCATTTCCCATTGATCTTATTAATCATTTTAAAAATGTGGTATATTATTTTTATATTACCAACAAAAACGCTTGCCTAATGCCGTGCATTTTTAAAATTCATTTATGGTGAGTGAGTGCCGTTGGCTAAACCAGCATTTATTGCCCATCTATAACTGCCTTCACCAAAGTGGTGATGTACTGCTTCCTTGAACTGCTGCAGTCCATTTGCTGCAGGAATACCCACAATGCTGTTAGGAAGAGAATTCTGGGATTTTGACCCAATTACAGTGAATAAACGGCATTGTTGTTCAAAGACAGGTTGATGTGTGTCTTGGACAGAAACATATAGGTGGTAGTGTTCCCATCTGCTGCCCAAATCCTTCTAGATGGTACAGGTGACACTGTCGGAGGAGCCTCGATGAGTTAATGTGGTACACCTTGTAGGTGTAACACACTGCTGCAGCTATACATTGGAGGTGGAGGGACTGAATACGAAAGATGGTAGATAGGATGTCAATCAAGCAGGTTGCTTTGCCCTTGACTGGTTTTTGACTGCTGTTGGAGCTGCACCCACCAGGTAAGTGCAGAGTATTCCATCACACTCACGATTTTGTGGACAGGTAGTGGGGAGTCGGGAGTTTAATCGCTCAACGCAAAATTCCCAGTTTTTGACCTAGCCTCGTTGCTACAGTAATTATATGGCTAGACCCCAGTACAGTTTTTGGTCAATGATCACCCTCAGGTTGTTCATAGTGGGGCAGGAATGTGGTCAGGGCCCACAGCCTTTATAATACCCAGTATCTTTAGCAGTTTCTTGCTATCCCATGTAGTGAATCACATTGGCTGAAGCCTGGCATCTGTGATGCTGGGTACCTCAGGAGAAGGCAAAGAAGAATTATCACTAGGCACTTCAGGCTGAAAACTATACAAAATGCTTCAGTCTTGACCTTGTACTGATGTGCTTGAATCCACCATGTGATTGTTGATTGTTCATCAAATGTTTTTTAACTTTATTTAAATTTAAACAAATATTTCCAGCGTAATCAGATTATAACTCAACAATGTCATTAAAGCAAAGTAGCCCCTCACTATATACGTTATCTAAAAAAGTACAGCATTTAAGTTTCCTCCAGTCGTGCACACAAAATTGGGAAGTGAGAAAGAATTTCTGATTGAAAAATTATTCAAAGTCTGGGGAAGGAAAGGACTTATTGAATATTCAATTGTGAGACTGAATATGTTTTCTAGTCACAAAATTGTTTACAAGTAATGTGGCATTTTCAGAAATGCATTTACATGTGTGCATTATTAAATATATTAAATTGCTTACTTGCATTTCAGAGTCAGTTTTGGTGTGAGGATGCAAGTGGTACAGTTGTTCGAGTTGGGAAGTATTCAGCTGAGTGCAAGACAAAGGAATCAATGGGAATTCTTTACAAGCAGTTTGAAAAGTTTATGTGGCCTACCGTGCCACAACAAGAAGAGAGAATTCAGCAAATCACAGAACTGGCAATGCGACTATACGGTTAGAATGAATATTATTCTAATTTAAAACATTGCTTAGCTTGCTGAATGCAAAAAGTGTTAATGTAGGGGTTTCTATGATATCGTTTGCAGTAGATGAATGCCAAAAATCAAAGAAACTTTCAGCAATGCTAAATGCATTATCATGATTTCCTACTTAAAAATATCAGGTGGGCTTGTTTTTTCACTATTGTTCATAGATTGCCCAAAAAAAGTGAAGACAGATTGAAACCACTGTAAGCTTCTCAGCATTGTCTTTGGTGTAAAACAAAAATAGTATTGAAGGTAATGGATGATGGAAAAGAATTATAAAAACCTTTAGGTTTTAAATGGAAAGCAGTTTGGATTTTCAGAAGACATTTGAAAAGGTGCCACATATCAGGCTACTTAATAAGATAAAGCCTATGATGTTGGAGGTGGTAAATTAACATGGATAAAGGAATAAAGGGCAACTGTTTTATACAGAGAGTGAATTGTGTGTTGAATGAACTGCCAGAGGACATGGTCGTTACAGGTACAGTTATAACATTCAACAGTCATTTGGGTAAGTACATGAATAGGAAAGGTTTGGAGGGCTATGGGCCAAATGCAAGCAGGTAGGACTAGTTTAGTTTGGGAACATGATCGGCATGGACTAGTTGGACCAAAGGATCTGTTTCCATGCTGTGTAATTCTATGATTAACCAAAAGAAGACAGAGAGTTGGGATAAGGGGGACATTTTCAGGATGGTAACTTATAACTAGTGGAGTTCCACAGGGATCCATGTTAGGACCATTTACATTTACATATATTTACTATATATATGTTAATTACTTGGATGAAGCAGGTGAAAATACAACAGTAAATTTCACAGATAGCACAAAAATAGATGGGAAGGCCAGTGGTGAGTTTCAAACAAGGAGTCTGCAGAAGGATATAGACTGGTTAAATGACTGGACAAAAACTTGGCACATGGAATATAACGTGGGAAATGTGAGATCATGCACTTTGGCAGGAAGAGTAGAGGAGCTGAATATTATTTAAATGGCAAAATACTGCAGACAGCTACAGCACAGTCCTTATCCATTAATCACAAAAAGCTAGCACACATGTTCAAATAGCAGGGGAAGTCAGATGGACTATTGGCTTTTATTTCAAAAGGAATGGAATATAAAAGTAGGGAGGTTTTACTAAAGCTATACAAGGCACTAATGAGGGCACAGCTGAAATACTGTGAACAGTTTTGGGACCCTTATCTAAGGAAAAATCTAATGGCATCAGAGACAGTCCAGAAAAGATTCACTTGGTTGATACCAGTCATAGGAGGACTGTCTTATGAGGAGTGGTTGAGTAGGTGGGCCTGTGTTGCTTAGAATTTCAATGAATGAAATGTGATCTTAATGAAACATTAACAAGATGACGATGTCATAAATCTTTGATTTGTATAATTTTTAAATGTAGAGATTTATTGCTCCTTCAAAAAGATCCGCGCAATGTTTTGAATTCGCTTCAATATTTAGAATTTTGTACAAGTGACTGTGGTAACCAACTAGCACTTTAAGGATAAAACATATTTCATAAAGAAACACTTCTGCCAATGATAATTACACAGATGGTTACCACTTTTCAATGTTGTTCTTTGCCAACAGAAATTTCAAGAACCGTGCTGACAACATGAAACTTATACTTTTCTATGAATATTGATCTGTCAGTCTTTCAGAATCACATTAGACTTCTGTCTTCATTTTCTTTGTGCTTCAAAAAACATCTTTTTAAAATGCATTTTCTACGACTTACAGATTATTTTATGTGGCAAAATATTGGTGATTTACCACCTGTAATTCAAAGATTGAACAAGTACCCTATCTGATGTAATATACATTGAAAATCAGAACTACCTGCAACTGGGGGGATGTGTATTGAAAATTAAGTTAGATATATCTTCCTTTAATCTGAAAGGCAACACTGGTTTCATGTCTATATTCACACCTAAAGGTCCTGAAGAAGCAAATAAATTTGTGAAGAAAATGGTAACAAAGCACAATGAGATTCTTGAATCAATAAAGGAACTTTGCAATGGGTTAAGAGAGCTTGAATTAAAACTTCCTGATGTGGTAAGCACAAAAACAGTTCTATTTTTGCAGTTAATATTGACATTGGGTTAACTAAAAGTTATATTTATATCAATAGGATAAGGAAATCAGTTTAAATAAAGAAATCTGTTTGGATAGCATTACTTGTATTTTTGAGGTACAATTTCTTTCATACATGTATTTGTGCAGGTTATTTTTGCTCAGTTTCAGCAGAAATTAACTCTATTTTGCAACACTTTTGGTTAATTTTTAATGTCTCTAACTAGAAATGACATTCTTGTATATTGGCAAATGGAAGATCTAACAAAATACCACTTTGTGATACCAATTTCATAAAGGTAGTACAATTTCTGATTCAGCATAATTCAGGAAACAAAATACAAAGGCACAATCAAATACTCAAAAATCAAGGGTATGAGTAAATTCCATCAAAGGAAATTTTTGATTTTTGTAAGATTAATACAGACTGAGGCAAGTTCACTTTTAAGCTTCTGTATGCTGCCATTATAGTAATAAAACTTTTCATATGCCCTCGAAAAACTGTGAAATTCTTAAAGTAATTCAGACCATTTCAAAATAATTCTTATTTCTGAATGACATGAGGATGTCAACACAACACTGAATAGCAAAAATGCTGTCTTTGCCAGAAATGAGCCCATTCAAAGGAAACATCCTGGGAATGATAGATGTGTGCTTTTGACTAACATATTTTAACATAACTTGCACTGAGCTGACATTCTGTATGTTGATGTTAAATAGACTGAAGCTTCAGAAAATGCAGCAGAAAATTCAAGTAAATCAAATGAAGCAGGAAATGCTCAGCAGGAAAGGCAGGTAAATATTTATAAACTGATCAGAAAAATCAAAACACATTTCATAAATTGACAATTGAGGAAAACGGTCACTTATTTTGTCACAATGTAGGAAAGAATGCTTTCATTTGATTTCTTGTGGCTCTGTGCAAGAAATGATGAGGCGCAAGTGGCACATTGTCTTGTGGGCCAGAACATGTCCACAAATGAGGGATCCCCTACCCCACAGAATCAGCTGTGAGGCTGCCAGGTTCACTGCATGGTCTTCATATGTGGCAACAGAAATGTTAAATTTCCTATAGAATTGAGGAGTGGCTCCTAATAGGGTCACTTGGGTGACTCATTTGGGAAGCTGGAGGGTGACATATCAGCCCATTTGCTGCTGTTGGCACACAGGCATGGTAACAGGAAAATGTCTAACTTATGCCACAGATACTTTGGAGTAGACAGTAGCAGCTTGAGGAAAATGCTTTGAAATAGCTCGTGGTCAGACTTTACTGTCATTTTGTATCTTTCAAATGGATATTAACTAGAATATTCACAAACAGCTACCACAGCCAGATACTCGCTTTCAATCTGAGCACAGTGTTGTCAAATTTACATTAAAGCTGTGAACAGAAATGCAATCAGTTACGCTGGGTTGCTCCTATATGTCTGACTGGCATTACACTGCAGGGTAACTTCAACATTTACATAGTTCAGTACTGGCATTGCCAGTCACTTATGCTTGATGTTAGTGAATGCTACTTCTTATTCTGTGCCTCAATACCACTGCCTGTCCTTGGCAATGAATTGGCATAATTGTTCACAAACTGACACAAATTGGGCAAGTATTTTACTAAGTAGTTGACAAATCACTGCAATGCTTTTACATCTATTGGTCACTGCATTGCTGTCACATTTATCACCTTTGCAGGATCTGGGTGAAGTACTTGATTTTGGGTATCTTTAATTGCAATTATTTTCAGGTTCATCTGCTGAGTTCTATCTTGTAGATCAACCATGTAAGCTTTCCTTCCAGAAAGACCATTATCTCATGTTTTCTGCAGTGACAATCCTCTGGAGATGTGGAAATGACACTGACCTGTGCGACCATCTGTATCACCTGAATGGCATTGAGAATGTAGTGAGAAAGCTACTGCTTTCTTCCAGCTTCACTTGCCAATATCAATCCTTCACATCTCAGCGAGTGAAAATTTTTAACATTTCAAGTTGTGACACAGCTGTTCAGTGGTTCCTTGGTATAGTAAGCTGTCTTTAAATCTTTGTTTAGATCTTTTGGGTCAATGCATACTGTCAGCTTTCCAAATTGTTTCATTGTTATCCTGTTTCTAATCCATTCTGTAAGAGATAACAAGGTGTAGAGCTGGATGAACACAGCAGGCCAAACAGCATCAGAGGAGCAGGAAGGCTGACGTTTCGGGCCTAGACCCGAGTTGTTACTTTCTCTATTACTCACTTTTTCTTTGTAGTTCTTGTATCTTGCTTTTTAGGCTAGTCATAAGGGCAGCTGGAACTTCCCTCAGCAGATCCTGAATTGACCTTCCACTTGCATCTACTTCACAGTGATATTGTCCAGGAAGACATCCTAATCTTGTAGACCGTTGTATACTCCTAGGATCTGGTTTATGCTTAATGTTTTGCGTATGCTAAGACACATTGCAAATCTCTTTTGGGATGTTGAGGGCTAACAGTCCAAGATTTTGACTTTCTCCAGTCATCAATGATTTGGAACTCCATATTCTGTCATTGCATTGGGCCTTCAGAGAAAGTGGTCCTTTTGGCATGAGTATAGTGTCATCGTGTACCCTCAACTTCACTTTTGAGGACTTTGTTTTTGGATTACCATGTTGCACCATTTCTTCACACACCTGAGAAGGTCATGATGCTCCTGCTGCAGGCACATCATTCCAGCAGTCACAACCATTTACCATCTATTAACCTGTCTGAACGAACCTGTTGTATGATGTGGAGTAATTCATCACAATCTTCGGCTGATATTTCTTCAATGGATATCTATCCCTGTTTCCTTTTGGCCAAACACTTAGGTGAAAAATTATTCAACTTCTTACGTGAAAATACTGCTTTAGGGGGTGGGAGGAATTTGAAGGGGCCATGGGACAGAATGACTCACCTAGGTTAGGAACACACATACCAATGAGACAGGAGGTCAATCACAATGTTCTTGGTATGGATTCAGTATACCTCACCTTTTCCATATTCCAAAGGGACTGACAGAACGGTTCACTTATAATCATAGGAGATGAAAGCAAAAGAAGGGATTGGGAAATCTGGCTCATCTTACTTGACCAATGATTGCTGTTGTTCACAACAACAACCATTGGTCGATTAGCTTGTCAATCAATATGATCAATTGGCTGGATTGGCTGCTTTGGGTATTGACCAATACAATTGACAGGCCATTTTGTTAGTGAGCCCAGGCTCGTGCAGGCACAGGCACTGGTGATCAGCATTATCTGCGGCTGTCTCTCCTGGACCCCAGAATATATCTATTGAGGTATCAGCTCCCTAGAGCTCAGCAATGACCACTGTTAGAAATGGTCATGCTGCAGCTGCAGAGATGCTGTCTTTCTAACTGAGGAGGCAGCTTTTGGGAGCAGCTGCCATCCTAATGTTCTGATGGCGATATACTGCCTGGTTTCCTGCTACCCACTGTTGTGGAACTGCCTCCCACTTTCAGCCCAGCAGTGAAACTTGCTGGGAATGAATAAGTGCAGTCTATAGATGAGTGGCTTTCATAGATCTCATCAGCCACTAAGAAAACATTCTGTTCAGCTAGCTGACACTATGCATTCCATACTTTGGCAAAAAGCTATTTTAATTCATCTTGTACTAACTGCTCAAAAATCCTGGCACATCAGGATACACAGGTAATCCCACATGCATCAACTATATTTGTATGCTGTCCTATTGAAGTCCTCAGATAAGTTCTCATCGGAACTTGTGCAACCTCACCCTCTGGAGATATTGCACCTCCGTGAATTTTTCTTTCACCCCTGACTGTAGGCCAGTCGTATTCAGTGGTTCACCTCACACAGATTCTGCATGGAGGGGGTTACTGTGTCTGTTAGAATCCTTTAATCAAAGCTAAGGCTGCAATTAGCCTCCAGGCTTGGCCTCTCAAACAAACAAGACTTGCATGGTCTGTTATAACAAGGTGTAGAGCTGGATGAACACAGCAGGCCAAGCAGCATCAGAGGAGCAGGAAAGCTGACGTTTCAGGTCGAGACCCTTCTTCAGAAATGGGGGAGGGGAAGGGGATTCTGAAATAAATAGGGAGAGAGGAGGAGGCGGATAGAAGATGGATAAAGGAGAAGATAGGTGGAGAAAAGACAGACAGGTCAAAGAGACGTGGTCTGTTCTTTTCTTTTTAACACAAACCATCCCAAAGTTCATCAGTCAGTTCCAGCTCATAACTCAGAATTGATAACAGAATGAAACAAAAGTAATGAAAGGCTTCTAACATGTATAGGAGGGATACTTATAGCAACGAAAGTGAAGCGTGAGTTGTGATTGATGAAGAATGTCGGTAGGACAGTGTAAAGAGGGGAGGGGATTTGAGCAGAGTGTGAGGTCAGTGGTTCATTTGGAAGGATATGGCATTCAGATTTGCATTCACTCACCTTGACCATTCGTGTGATGTCATTGAATTTCTTACATCATTGCACCCAGACTAGTGGTCATAGATAGCTGGCATTGACAATAATGGCTATCTCTTCCTACTACCTTCTCATTGTCTGCCTGGGGAGCCTTTTGACCCTTCGTGGATGGAGGATCTCCCTCCTGCCCATCTGCTACACCAAGGCCTCCAAAGCAATGCCTGAGAATATTGGAGCTTGCCCTTTACAATGTTGCACCAGATTCATTCTTGAGGCGGTTTCCCCTAACCACTTCCAGCACCTGCTGCAGCCAGAATACATTTTCCATTTGAAGTGTTACAGATTGACTTTAAGTAGCAGTTTCTGGTTTTAAATGGTACAGGTCTTGCGTGAAGCATTATGTAAATTAGCTGACAGCATGAAGATTGCATGCTGCCTATATTGAAATTAAAAGATTTGGGTTATTCTCACGTTGTGATCCACATACCTGTTTTTTGGTCTTATTCGCTTTTCCCACCAACATCTCCACATATTACTTATTTAAAGTTATCAATTAGGAGCGATTTTAAAACCTGAGGACCAAACAATGTTTATACTTATTTACATTATCAATAAATAAAATATATTCTTTGGTCAATGTTGAAAGTGCAAGTAACTTTTTTTTAAGGAAACTCCATACACACTGAAGTTAAAAGGTTCTTAACTGTAATGTTTCTTCAACCAATGCTAGATGGAAACCAATGATTGTCAACTATCACCTGTAGATGCAAGCTTGCAAATAATGCATCAAACACTGGACAACCAAAAGCAAGGAAACATGACTCTGGCATCATTGAAATCTATTGTGGACTCACCCGAAGAGGCAAAAGAAACTAAAGAGCTAAAGCAAATGTCTATGAGTGTCTCAAGTCATAATCAAGTTGTTGGACTACCCACAGAAGACATCCAAGCAAGAAAAGATAATGTGAAGAGCTGCAGTGAGAAAGAGATATATATTCAGTGTTATACCACCACCTTGTCACAGCCATTTAGAACAAAGCCGTTACAATCAAATTCAATATTTCCATCGACATATTCCACTGATTCTGAGAGAAGAGTTTTTGCCCTTCACCTCATACAAAATGCATCAAAAGATGCAAGACTTCTCCCAACTGCTCCTGGGAACAATTCAGAAATATTAATGCCAATTTCTGCTAAAGATGAACAAATGGGCGAAGCAGAAAACAGGGGAGCATCAGATGGTCAAATAGAACTGCAAAATCATCCGTTGTCATGCAATCACGTATGTACCCCCTAAAAATTTTCTTGAATTAGTAATGTTACAGAATACATAAATACTGAATCACTTGAACACATTTAGCATGTTTGATTTAAAAATTCAAGTGAGCACATAAATGATTAATTATTTCAAAATATATTTACAATAAATGAAAAACATTATTCATTTTGTTTGTTCACATGGGCTCTACCTGAATAAATATTCTCAGCTTATTGTCTGCTGATGCCTCATCCCGAGCTGTTTCTTTGGAAATTTTATTTTTGTCTTCACTCTCCAGGGGCAGGACAAGGAGTTAGGTCTAAAATCTGTCTCAACTGCAGTAGAAAACAAATCCAAACTGGCATTTTTTCTGAACCATCTACTAGTCATCCAGAATGCTGAGCTAACCATCCCTCTTTTATTTCGTTGTCATATAGACCGTTCCATGGAAACTTTGAACTGCTTGAGGGTTTGACAGTTGTATATTTTTATTTTGATAGAAAGTAAAACACCTTTAACATAAAACATGCCAACTTGTTTCAAAGACTAATCTTAATCAAAGCATTGACCTTCAGCTGCATTGGGAGATATTTGATAGCGGTGATTTAAAAAACCTGGTAAAATATGTAGGTTTTGGATAGGATCTCAAAGGGGGCAAGTGTACAGAGATTTAAAGAATGAATATTAAAGCTTAGGATCTTGGAAGCTGATGGCATGCACCCCCAGTGGTGCAGCATTTAAATTGGAGGACGTGTAACATGCCAAACTTGGAGAAATGCAAAGATCTCAAAGGAATGCTACGGCTAGAAGGAGTTACAGAGCTGGAGTTGAGAAAGGACATGTTGAGATTTGAAAGTAATGTTGGTAATTTTAAAATCAAGGTATTACCAGACCTAGAACAAATGTGGTTTAGGGAACTGAATGAAAGGGTCTTGGCTTGAATTAAAATACAGGCAGCAGAAAATGAGTGACCAACTAGGAGAGCGTTGGAAAGTTGAGAGATAGTGACAACATGGATGAAGGTTTCAGGAACAAATGGATTAAGACAGGTGGTGCAGAAATTTCACAACAAAGAGGAAGCAATTTCCAAAATGTGCAGGGTGGGAAAGTTTCAGAAAATGGTATTGGGACCTGACGTCATGCTGTCTTCTAGCTTTTCCTGGAGCAGATGACGAGACTTGCGGAAGCCCCTGTAGATCAACAAGAAAGTAGTTGAAGTATTTTAAAGCATAATTAAGAGTCTTTTTACGCACAAACTCCTTCTTCCTTCTCGAAAGCTCTCACTTCCCATGCTGTGTCTGCACCTCACCAGTATGATTGAGTAGAGTACTGTATGGGAAGAGCTACTCCATGAGACTGACAGTTGGGAAGGTTTTGATCAGTCTTTTTTAAAATTCATTCACAGGTGAGGTGTCACTGGCTAGGCCAGTATTTATTTCCCATCCCTATTTGCCTAGAGGGCAGTTAAGAGTCAAACATATTGCTGTGGGTCTGGAGTCACATATAGGTCAGACCAGGTAAGGACAGCAGTTAGTGAACCAGATGGATTTTTCCCAACAATCCAAAGTGAATTCATGGTCATCATTCGACTTTTAATTCCAGATTTTTATTGCATTCAAATTCCACAATCTGCCATGGCAGGATTCAAACTCGGGTCCCCAGAACCAGATGAAGGTAGCAAACAGAAAATGCTGGTAGAAGCTTGTTTTTCAGACTGGAGGCCTGTGACCAGCGGTGTCCCACAAGGATCAGTGCTGGGACCATTGCTTTTCATCATTTATATAAATGATTTGGATGTGAATTTAGGATGTGTGGTTAGTAAGTTTGCAGACAACACCAAAATTGATGGTATAGTGGGCAGTGAAGAAGTTTATCTCAGATTACAACGGGACCTTGATCAGATGGACCATTGGGCTGAGGAGAGGCAAATGGAGTTTAATTTAGATAAATGTGAAGTATTGCATCTTGGTAAGGCAAAACAGGGCAGGGCTTATACACTTAATGGTAAGGTCCTGGGGAGTGTTGCTGAACAAAGAGACTGAGGGGTGCTGGTTCCTTGAAAGTGGAGTCACAGGGAGACAGGATAGTGAAGAAAGCATTTGTAATGCTTGCCTTTATTGGTCAATGCATTGATTATAGGAGTTGGGAGGTCATGTTGTGTCTGTACAGTACATTGGTGAGGCCACTTTTAGAAATCTGCATTCAATTCTGGTCTCCCTGCTATAGGAAAGATGTTGTTAAACTTGAAAGGATTCAGAAAAGATTTATAAGGGTGTTGCCGGGGTTGGAGGGGTTGAGCTATGGGGAGAGGCTGAATAGACTGGGGCATTTCTCCCTGGAGTGTTGGAGGCTGAAGGGTGACCTTATAGAGGTTTATAAAATCATGAGGGGCATGGATAGGGTGAATAGCCAAGGTCTTTTTCCCAGGGTAGGAGTCCAAAGCTAGAGGGCATAGGTTTAAGGTGAGAGAGGAAAGATTAAAAAGGACCTAAAGAGGTAACATTTTCTTGCAGAGAGTGATGAGTGTATGGAATGAGCTGCCAGAGGAGGTGGTGGAAGCTGGTACAATTATAGCATTTAAAAGGCATCTGGATAGGTATATGAATAGAAAGGGTTTAGAGGGATATGGGCCAAATGCTGGCAAATGGGACTAGGTCAGATTGGGATATCTGGTCGGCATGGGCAAGTTGGACCAAAAGGTCTGTTTTCATGCTGTACAACTCTGTGACTCTATAGCTGAAAACTGAAGAGTTCTCACCATGGCCATTAGGAGACTGCTATCAAAAATAAAACTTCTCTCAGGGCATAAAACTTCTCTTGGAGAATGTGGATCATCACTGCAGCCAGAGATGGAAGTGTGAGACAGAATTGCTGGGGCCATTTGGTGGAACCCGATAAGGGAGTAGAGGTGGTTTATGTAGAGAGTAGGGGACTTCTTTTTCTCCTGGTCTCTCTTTTGGGCATAGGATACCGCCAAAGCCATTCCTGCCAGGATTTGCCAACGTGCTGTGGCCCCTACCCACTGCTGAAAAAATAGTGATGGTGGATTAGGGCCCTTAATCGGTCATTTAAGAGTGTCAGTTAGCCTCCAGGCAGCAGGGCCTCCTGCAACCTTCCTACCAAACTTTATTTGGAGGAAGTGAGAAGGCCAATGGATCTCCGCTTCACTGTTTCCTGCTCCATTAAATCCCCTCCCCTGTTTCTCAGCCCATCGTCAGGGAAATATTACATTAAACCTGAGGAATTTTAACACTGCAGGATGCCATTCAGGCCATCATACATATCCCACTCTTTGAAAGTCTCACTCATCTTCTCTTACTCTTTGATTCTACAATTTTCCATTTCAAGTATTCATTCAAATTTGTTTTGAAATGTACAATTGTCTGCTTGCATTTAATTAAACACTGCTATCTAGATAATAACAAAATTCTCCTCATCTCATCCAAGTATCTCCGTTCCTGCTCTGTCCTTAACATTGTATCATTTACCACACTTAGCCTCTTCTCATTCTCACTACCAACATGACTGCACTGTGCTAAGTTTAATCTGGCATGAGTCTGCCTAGTTGAGGAGTTATTCTATGCCCTCCTGAAGTCAAAATGCTATTCTTATCAGCGATCACTACTTTGCCAAATTTTGTGTTATCTGTAAGCTTTGAAATCATTCTCAGTATACCATTCTCATTGAATGCTTCCATCCAGTCTGAAAAGCAAACATGCCCTGCAACTACCTGATTTGATCTGATAGTCAACTTTCTATTCGTGCCACTACTGCTCCTTTAATCTGACGGGCTTCAGTGTAACATTAAAGGTTCTGTAATTTTATGTCGTCATGCTGGTGTCTTATAAAAGGTATTTTCTGTAACTAGAGATAGTAGGAACTGCAGATGCTGGAGAATCTGAGATAACAAGGTGTAGAGCTGGATGAACACAGCAGGCCAAGCAGCATCAGAGGAGCAGGAAGGCTGACGTTTCGGGCCTAGACCCTTCTTCAGAAATGGGGGAGGGGAAGAGGGTTCTGAAATAAATAGGGAGAGAGGGGGAGGCAGATAGAAGATGGATACAGGAAAAGATAGGTGGAGTGGAGACAGACAGGTCAAATAGGCAAAGTGCTACACCTGCCACTACACCTCCCCCCTCACCCCCATCCCAGGCCCCAAGAAGACTTTCCACATCAAGCAGATGTTCACCTGCACATCTGCTAATGTGGTATACTGCATCCGCTGTTCCCGATGTGGCCTCCTCTACATTGGGGAAACCAAGCGGAGGCTTGGGGACCGCTTTGCAGAACACCTACGCTCGGTTCGCACTAAACAACTGCACCTCCCAGTTGCGAACCATTTCAACTCCCCCTCCCATTCCTCAGACGACATGTCCATCCTGGGCCTCCTGCAGTGCTACAACGATGCCACCTGAAGGTTGCAGGAACAGCAACTCATATTCCGCTTGGGAACCCTGCAGCCCAATGGTATCAATGTGGATTTCACAAGCTTCAAAATCTCCCCTCCCCCTACCGCATCCCAAAACCAGCCCAGCTCGTCCCCACCTCCCTAACCTGTCCTTCCTCCCACCTCAAGTCCCCCCCCCATCTCCTACGTACTAACTTCATCCCGCCCCCTTGACCTGTCCGTCCTCCCTGGACTGACCTATCTCCTCCCTAACTCCCCACCTACACTCACCTTTACTGGCTCCATCCCCGCCTCTTTGACCTGTCTGTAACCTCTCCAACTATTTTCTCCTCTATCCATCTTCTATCTGCCTCCCCCTCTCTCCCTATTTATTTCAGAAGCCCCTTCCCCTCCCCCATTTCTGAAGAAGGGTCTAGGCCCGAAACGTCAGCCTGCCTGCTCCTCTGATGCTGCTTGGCCTGCTGTGTTCATCCAGCTCTACACCTTGTTATCTCATTTTCTGTAACTAATTGTTTTCTGAAGTTCGTATAATTAACCTGTTAGTCAATTTCTTGTTTTTATTTGTTCTTAAGCCACTGAAATTAGCTGCAAACAATAAGTGCCCATATTTCCCCTGCCATTTGGTTTTCTGATAAGAGTTTTGTGAACTCCTGCTTTAATTATTCAAAAATTCAATGGTAGAATCTGCAGGCAAAATAACGAAACAATATAGTATTGGGCAAGTTATCAAGGTGCCACCTAGTGGCACTACAGAAATGGTAGCATTACAGGAGAGCACGTTGCAGCAAATTTTAATACAATTTGTTTTTGTTTTTTTAAAGGAGCATTTAAATACCAACGTGGGTGGATTACTGAAAAATCAAATCTCTGATTCAGTTCCAGAAGATCCATATTCACAGGAAGCTACAGAACTGTTCCATCCTTCCACTGAAGGCAGCACAGTGACAGATGGAGATTTGCAAAATGATCTTTTAGTAGATGAAAACCAGTCTGTAGAAGAATATGAGTGCATGTCTCCTGATGACATTTCCTTGCCTCCACTTCCAGAGACGCCTGAATCGAACATGCTCCATTCTGAAACAGAAGTGGATAAAATGTCCAGATTAAGTTCCCACAGCCTATATGCTGGGTCTTTTAGTGGCCAGCCACAAATGCAAGCAAGCTATAGTCAAATGACTGACAAATCTGATACACTAGCACCTGTTGGCACTGCTGATGCAGTAAATCACTCAAGATCACAAGTTTATAGTGGATTAGAAGGCAACTTTTCATCTCAGCCCAATCACAGCACTGAGCCCCGCACAAAATACAGATCCGAGTCTTCCTCTGTTATCCACAGCCCACTGACAATTCCTGCACCCAGTATTGTTTCGAGCACCCTTTCACATATCTTAAAATCCCAAACGGTAACTAATTCCTCAGCCTGTGATTCCTCCTGTGAAGTGCATGAGACTCAGCTGCAGACTTATAATATGCATGAAAGTGTGACTGAGGCACAGGAGTTGCTGCATGGTCATAATAGGAGCTGTCTTAGAAAAGAATTGAGTCCTAGCAGAAATAATTCACATGCTTCACCTGAGCCACTAACAGTACCTCTCAGTATAGATCAGTCAGTGCATGATACGGGTCATCCAATGGATACTGTCATCCATGAGGAAATCAGACATGCATCAAGAAGCAGAGCCATGTGCAACCTGGCTAGCAACACACCCAACTTCTCCAAGCTCTTGTCTAATGTCAATGTGGTAGAAGGTTCTGCTGTGACCTTGGAAATAGAAGTGACAGGATTCCCAGAACCAACATTGATGTGGTGGGTAACAAGTAACAAACAACAATAATATAAGTAGATACTAGTCAAATTTCCTCTGTGTGGAAATATTTCATATAACATTAAGGTATATTTAGCATGAACTGTTACCATGGATCAAATATTTTTTTGTTATTATAGTCTAGCTCTAGACATAATACACATTTTTTCACTAATCAATCGAGAGAGATATTTCAAAGAAGTTTGAGAAATGAATGAGAGGCTTGAGAATTAATGACACACAAAAATAAATTAATTATGCAGTTCTAATCCTGCCAAAAACTAGGTGTAAATTAGTTGAAAGTTGGATGCAGTTTAAACCCTTCCATTAACCATTAGGATAGAATGTTTCAGACTATCATAACTCGAACACATGAATAACTTATTTAAACAGCAATTACCTTGCCTTAGCTGGCCACATATTACACTTACCATGAGTGATAGTTTTCTCAGCAAAAGGAATGTAGGGATATGGTACAGGCATAGGAAGAGAGAATGATCAGGAAGTCAATAAACTCGTGAAACTTGTCGTTGAAAATGAAGCTGTTGGGTACAGGAAAGATGGGTTTAATACGGGGATGTTTGGCAGTTGAAAAAGGAGCTGTGTGTTATCTTTGCATTGCTAAATGATCCTCATCAGTTTTGGCAGGATATAGCAGGATTCCAAACTGTTTGAATGGGTCCAACCAGATCTGCTGTGACAGATCAATTTATATGCATAACTTGCATTTTAGTCTGCATCCTGTGAATAAACTGAGTGCAGGTAAGGACTTTACCAAGCAAATGGCCAGAGTGAGAGAGAAGGTAGAGGACTTACTGGGAGAAATTGCAACAGAAATAGAGTTGAGGTAGTGATTGCCAGCTGCAGAATTATTAAGGTAAATAAAGGGTCAAAGATAGTTGGGAATTTGAATGTGTTAGTGGACCTGAAGGACATTTTTTTCCAGGGTGAATGCAGAAATGAGAAAGGACATGTGGATGCTAAGAAATGATGAGTGATGGCCCTTTATATGAAATGTAGATAATGGAGATTGCAATTGTGTGAGATGACAACATATGACTCCAGACCTACAGCAATGTGATTGACTCTGAACTGCCCTCTGGGTAATTAGGGATAGGCAATAAATGCTGCCTGGTAAGCGATGCCCTCATCCGATTAATGAATATTTTTAAAAAAGCAGATCAAGAAGGGTGTGACCTCAGAGGACAGAGGGCAAGGTAAGTAGGCCCAGACTGAAGTTAGCAAGGATGACAAGTTACAGTGCTGAGGTTAAAACAGAGAAGAATTGAGAATTCACATGAGAAACTTGTGTGGGTTTATGAGAGCTTTAGAAAAGCATTGTAGGGAAATTTGTTTTGAAGCATTATGAGATATTCAGAAAAGGAGAAATAAAAATACAGACTGAAGTGGTAATTGGTGAGTAGGCCCAAATGCCATCATGGCATTTTGGTGGGGCAGGTGAATATAGTTGTGGGTTCAGTAGGAGAAACAATGCCAAGCTTTTATCAAGGGCATGATATCAATGCAATCATCCAGCTTAGGGTTATGGATATTATATGATTCTATATTTAATGCACATCAAGGAACAGGTCATGTAGCTGTCTTCGAAACTGCACAGCTTTTGCTTTGAACACACACTGTTATCTACAGTATTTTACACTATGCAAGTGACAAGATTCATTTGTGGAGACAGAAATAACACTGGATCATTCCATTCTGTAATCACTTATCAACACTGACAATTCCAAGAAATGTTGAGGACTCAGTATAACAGAAAAAGGAAAATTGTACTAAAACAGCACCGAAGGGTGCTATTTACTATTGATGGACACCATGTGTCCTCAGAAATCCTGATTCTCTTAAGGTTTTAAGTTCCACTAGTTCTTATTACAATTGTGTTACTTTGGAAAATTGGAAAATTGATGCCGAATATTTTGTTGAATCTTTTTGACTTTGAGAAAGTAAGAACATCTGAAATAAAAGCAGAACATGTAGCCCTTTGAGCCTACTTCATCATGCAATAAGATTGTGGCTGATCTTCTACTCCAACTCCACTTTCCCATCCTAAAGCCACGTCCCTTGATTACATTCATCACCAAAAACCTGTCATTCTCAATTATATTTTACATTTAAACACATTGAGTTATCTGCTGTGGATAATTTTAAGATTCACAACCCATTTAGTGAATAAATTTCTCCAAATTTTAGTCTTACATGGTCAGTCCCATGTTATGAACGTATGACTCTGGTCTTAAACTTTGCAGCCAAGGGAAACAACCTCTCAGCATTTACCATGTCAAATCTCTATGAATATGTTTCAATGTGATCATCTCTAATATTTCTATAGCCACCATATCCTCAATTTTTTTACCGAAGGACAAACCTCTCATTGGAGACACTGCCAGACAGCACTGGCTTCTACCCAACGATGAGGAGAAATGACTCAGGTATGACCTGTCCACAAAAAGCAGGACAAAACCAACCCAGCCAATGACTGCCCCATCAGTCTAATCTCGATCATCAGTAAAGTGATGGAAGTTGTCATCAACAGTGCTATCAAGCAGCGCCTGCTCGGCAATAACCTACTCAGTGATGCCCAGTTTGGGTTCTGCCAGGGCCACTCAGCTCCTGACCTCATTACAGCCTTGGTTCAAACATGGACAAAAGAGTTGAATTCCAGAGAGTGACAGCCCTTGACATTAAGGCTGCATTTGACCAGATGTGGCTTCAAGGAGCCCTAGCAAAACTGGAATCAATGGAAATCAGGGAGAATACTCTCCTTTGGTGGAGTCATATCTGGCACATGGTTGTGGGTTTGGTTTTGGAGGTCAATCATCTCAACTCCAAGACACTCCAGCAGGAGGTCCTCAGGGTAGAGTCCTAGACCCAACCATTTTCAGTTGCTTCGTCAATGACCTTCTCTTCATCATAAGGTCAGAAGTGGGGAAGTTCACCAATTGTTGCACCATGTTTTGCATCATTCATGAATCCTCAGGTAAAGAAGCAGTCCAAGCCTAAATGCAGCAAGACCTGGACAAGATCCAAAAATATTTGCACCACAAAAATGCCAGACAATGCCCATCTCCAACATGGTTGTTACCATCACTGAAACCCCCATTATCACCATCCTGGAGATTACAAATGATCAGAAACTGAACAAGACTAGCCATATAAATACAGTGGTTACAAGAGCAGGTTGGAGGCTAGGAATCCTGCAGTGCATAACTCATTTTCTGACTCTCTAGAGTATGTCCACCATTTACAATGTACAGTTCAGGCATTTGTTGGAATATTCCCCACTTGCCTGGATGAGTGCAGCTGCAAGAACACTCAAAAAGCTTACACTTTCCAGGACAAAGCAGCCCATTTGATTGGCACCATGTCTAAAAACCTCCATTCCCTTTACTACTGATCCTCAGGAGCAGTAGTAGGTGCCATCTACAAGATCAACTGCAGAAATTTGCCCAGGCTCCTTAGACAGAAATTTCCAAACTCTCAACCACTTCCATCTGGAAGGACAAGGGTAGCAGATACATAGGAACATGCAAGTTCCCCTTCAAGCCTCTTACTATCCTGACTTAGAAATATATTGCTGTTCCTTCAGTGCTGTTGGATGAAAATCCTGGAATTCCATACCTAATGGCATTGTGGGCCTACCTAAGTACATGAACTGCAACAGTTCAATAAGGCAGCTCACCACTACCTTCTCAACTAGCGATGGACAATAAATGCTTCTACAGCCAATGATGCCCACATCCTATGAGTGAATTAAAAACAAAACAATCTAGCTAACTACATTGCAACCCTTCTAAGGCAAACATATCTTTCCTTAGGTATGGGACTGAATATGTCCATTCAAACCTGAAGGATCTAACTGTTCTAAAGTTTTCTTATTGCTGAGTGCATCAGTCTCTTTTGTAGGGTGTCAAGAATGCATGCATTTAAGAAAATCAGAAAAAGATTTAGAAATGCTTTTTGGAATTTTATTACTTGCAGGGAGTTAGAATATGAAATTCCCATAATCTGCTGTGCTGAATCATTAAATTTAGTTAATATCTGCTTGAAAAAAAATGTTAAAGCATGAGGAATGAGTGAGACGTGTACAGGAATAAAACATAATGGGAAAACCTTGTTTTTCAGTGCTGTACCATTCCATGCTCCTGTATATTTGTAAGCTTTAAAAATGTCTTCAAAAACAAAATATGTCCTTAGTCATTTAAGACTGTTGCTCATTCTTAACAATACTTTGCCTTTATACTGAAAAACTTTTTACATAAAGTTAATTTTTGCACATTCTCAAAAATATATGTGGTTTACTTAAAATGATGCTGGATGTTGCTTGACTTAAAATGCACTCTTTACTTTAGGTACAAGAATGGACAGAAGCTGACAACAGATCAGCATTTAAAAATTTCACAAAAGGAAGGCAAACACATTCTTTTCATTGAGAAGGTGTCTGATAAAGATGCTGGCATTTATGTTGTACGAGCTAATAATTCTAATGGTACTATCAGTTCCAGTGCTATCCTTCAAGTACAAGGTAACTGCAGTCTCAGATGTTTTCACACTGGTGATATAGATTGGTTCACTTGTCTTGGTTTGTTGTGTATATTATACATTAGCTTGTTTCTTATGTATATCCTATTAATCTAACAATTGCATCTGTATATCTCTGTTCCTGCCATCTGGCTGCCCATCAATGTGTGTTCTGTAATATCTCCACTTAACACAAATAGTATTATTGTGAAATTTTGCTAATAACTTTAATAATGTTTTTGCTGTTGACTATTTGGAAATTGATATTTCTTTAGTATTGCTCATTTAAGGCACAACATTAATATGCAGAAAATGCTAATATAATTCAATATTTTCCAGTAAAACACAAGTTTAATAATCCAACACATGAATAACTAACTAAAATATCACAATGACAAATAATAACTATCCAATAATAGTGACATAAATGGAAATCAGTAAAAGAACAATATTTGTAAAATACTGTAAAGAAATAATGATTTACTGGCCTATTTCATTAATATCTTGAAATTCTTCATAGAAAAGCATTTTAAAAAGTTATTTATAGTCAAATGTGAATTCTTTATTTACAATACCATTTTTTGCTTTTCAACATTTAATATTTTTTGAAAAAGAGGTATTACAAAAATGTTAAAATAGTAACTTAATAGATGGCACAGTGGTATTGCACATTGGCACTCTGATATATACTGATTCTCTGCCTGATCAGTTCCCCGTCTCAAAGATGTCTGTGGGAGAAGGTAACAAGGAAAGATCGGGCACTTTCCAACAATGAAAGAGAGAAAATTGGAAGGGAATTGCCCCAGATGGTATCTCCTGGGTGATATCACAACATAGTCTGAGTAGCCAAGCACAAAGCAGTATTTGCCAAGTTTGACCCATACTCAGTCTGAGAATAAATCATAAATCTAGCAGATAGAATGGATAAGGACATAGCAGTAGTATCACACAATTAAATACTTGTAGATGAAATGTCCATTGTTATAGAAATGTCTATGTGACCACAAACAAGGACTTATTATGTATAGTATTTCTGAACTGCTGTTCTTCTCATTATTTTCTCTTCATATCATTTAAAAACAATGACAAGGAAATAATTTTATAATAGTGGAAACAAAATGTATTCATGATAAATTACATTTCACTTTATCACTTGTACTGTTATGGCAGCAAATCACAAGCTACAATGTATTCATAATTCATAGTTTTCTTTGTCTTTCTTAAGACTGTTATAAATATTTGGAATTAAGTACATTTCATTGTCATTACCAACTTATTTGATTCTTCTTTATTGTACCAATGAAATCTATATTGATGGCAACACATGGGAATAGTGCAGCAAACGTTTTTTTCAAACAGAGCAAAAATCAGTGAGGTTGCAGTTACATGTTGATTGAGGAGCATGAAGTACAATGCCTACATGATGACTGACCACATTGCAGGTCAGAGTGAGGTCAATCATTAAGGAACATTGCACACATTTTGCTCCTGGACAGTTAGTTTTAAAGGCTTGGAGAAAATGGATCAGGGAGTTGATTCTCTCAATATTCCATACATAATTTGGTCTCATACCAAGAGTCATACATCAGTTAGTGCAAGTAGTACATCACTTGGCTTTAGTTTGCTTGGAAGTAAGATTGAGATTTGATTTAGTTGTACTGGATTATTCATATTAATTTGGTATTGAAACAACACGAAAATGGCATTTACAACTGAACCCTGAAATATTTTAGTGAATAGAATATGCCACAGTATTTTTTTAATAGCAAAACATAAATCCAATTCATAATATGATGTTTAATTATGCGTTGCTAGATTTTGACAGTTTAAATATAAATTGTTATGAATCCTGTATGGTTGATGATTCTATTGTGATGTTTAATATATCTGAAGAATGTACATGAAATAAAATGCAATTTGGAAAAATAATAATTTCTTCAAGTTAAAAATGATTGATTGGATCAAAGAGCTTTTACACAATATTTTCACAAACCATAAATGAAACACTAAAGGAGCATATGAACGAAATCTCCTCAAATCCACCTTTATGAAAGCATAAAATCATCAACTACAAACATTTGGGGCTACAGTGGTAAATATGTGGCCCAAGTAATTCGGAGTCAGGAGGGAAATTTTCCTAAATCTTTTGAAATGGTTTTAGAGATGGGTGATATAGGCAAATTTATGAAAAATTTGTTGGACTAGTTTGCCAACTATTTTCCATGACCTACTATGATTCCAATGATGGGCTGGGCTGGGTTCAGTGCTGGCAACAAATATGTCTGTGGCAGAAAGTGTCAATGAAGGTAGTTAGGGGATCCATTTTCAGTAATGTTACCACACAAAGCCATTTTGGCAGTGTCCCATGGAACTGAACTGTGTCAGTGCTCTGACTAGTCAGAGGCTATGTGAGACTTCAAGGCTTTTTAATGCTTATGTGGAAACAAATTGCAAGGCTAATGCATTCACATGACAGAGACATTCCATAGCAGGAAATATGGTGTCTTGAAAACGGATATTTTTAATAGTGCTGAGGCAAGCCCCAGTGCCATCTGTTCCCCGATAATGAAAGCACTTCAGCTGCATTCTTGCTGCTTGTTCTCCTAAGCAGTGCTGTTATTGGTGATACAGAAATAGCCCTAGTTGCAATGGTCCATGCTGCATTACCCCTCTCTTCCAGAATCTCCCCATCATCCCTATTTGGACAGTAGGGTTCCTAATTGGCTGGCTCACTAGGAATGTGTCAGAAGCATTGTTCCTGCTGTGAATGGGTTTAGACCTGAAAATGGTTCTGTGCACACAACATTTTCAAAGTCTGGAACGTTTAATACATTGAGGTTCTTGGATAATACAATCTAGAAAATAATTGAATGTTGAAAAGTTAGAGTTGTTTTTCTTCTGTATATTTAATGAATATTTCAGCTATTGTTCGTTTTGATTTCCCTCCTATTGTTTTTGTATTCATTAATGGGATGCTGGCTAAACCAGCACTTATAACCCATTACTAATTGCCATAGAGAAGTTGATGGAAAGCTGCCCAGTTGAATCGCTGCAATCCATATAGTGTAGGTACACCTACAATGGTCTCAGGAAAGGAGTTGCAGGATTTTGAATAATTAACAATGAGGGAACACCAGTATAGCGTGGCATATTCCCCTTCCTGGTATGGTGTAAGCAATGGCAAGAAAGTTGGAGAAATATGGAGAAAATGAAAAGATCAGAATCTTGACATTGAGAAGTTTTGAGATTTTCCCTTTTAAGCATTAAATGAGAATTTCACAATTTCTCTTTTGTATGATGAATACCTTATGTCCATTTATTTGCGTCTCCCCATTACCTTATTGCTATGCCAATTCAAATTCTCCTTTCCTCTTCCAAGAAACTAGATGACGCAAATTCCCAACATACAAGACAAAGCAGGTAACTGGGAGCTGCAGCTTGCCAATTCCTTATCCTGACCATTATCCGACTGTGTCACCAGCACAATGTCCCTGCCTGCTCTATCAACGTCGTCCTCTTCAGTCATCATCCATGCAAGGCAGCATTGGCAGGCCACCAGCTTCATCATATCATACCTGCTCTGGGACCAAGTCACACACCACTCAGCCCTTCAGCACTCTACTTTGGAGCTGAGGGATGCCTGCAGTATGCATGCTTCTGCCAGATTGCTTTCCCCACAGATTATCTCCTCAAGGATCTCACATGGAGATCACCATGGCTGGAATCCTAACAGTGATGGTTCGATCATCCCTGAACTAAGTTGCTATCTTGGCCACCTCCAGTGGTCCCCAGCATCACAGATGTCAGTCTTCAGCCAATTTTATTTACATTGATTGGATCAAAGAGCTTTTACACAATATTTTCACAAACCATAAATGAAACACTAAAGGAGTATATGAACGAAATCTCCTCAAATCCACCTTTATGAAAACCTACAATCATCAACTACAAACATTTGGGGCTACAGTGGTAAATATGTGGCCCAAGTAATTCAGAGTCAGGAGGGAAACTTTCCTAAATCTTTGAAATGGTTTTAGTTGGTTCTAGTTGCTAGTCTATCAGTTGACTTTGACCATCAGTAAAGTGATGGAAGGTGTCATCAACAGTGCAATCAAGGATCACTTGCTCAGCAATAACTAGCTTGCTGACTATTGGATCAGTTATCATGTCTGCAAGACATCTCTGCAGGAGTTCCTTAGTTTAGTTTTCTAAGCCCAATCATTGTCAGCTGCTTTGTCAATGACCCTGCCTCCATCTTAAGGTTAAAAGTGGGGATTTCCCAGGTGCATGGGAACACCACAAGATCAACTTCAAACCACTCACAGTCTAGACTTGGGAATATATAACAGTTCAAATCCTGGAAATCCCTTCCTAAAGACACTGTGTGCCTACGTACAGCATGTGAACTGTAGCGGCTCAAGAAGGCAGCTCACTGCCACCTTCTTAAGTACAACTAGTAAAAGGCAATAAATCCTCATGACCCACAAGTGAATAAAAAAAAGTACAGGAATCAGTTGCTTAGGACATATGAGCAATGATTGATGATAATAACTTCCTTCATCCTTTGGGTGTCTGAACAGACCGCTCGTGTCTCACATGAGTGCAACTTAATTGCATCTGACAGCAAAAATTATATCATAACACACATTTTAACAGTGCAAGTGAACAATTATTTACACAAGTGAAAAGTTATCAAAAGCAAAATGTCACCCGTGCTCTCAGTAGCATTTTCCTTCCTGTGCCTCCCATTATGTCTAAGCGTAGTCCTGTCTTTCAGAGCTGGGGTAGAGGGATTCTACTCTGTAGTTGCTCCTGTTGACTTGGAAGACTTGGGCAATCATCCTGGGAGTCTTTGGCCCTTGAGGACCCAGGACTGCTGAGAGAGCCCTGCCCAGACTTAGAGTCACCATTCCTTACTTGAACTTCTGCCGTCTATTGGAATCATAGGCAGGGGGAAGGTGGTGTCTCTGGGCCCTTCCTGGAGGGCCCTGACAAGAGATTTGTGGATGTTGCTTCTCCCTATGGTGGTTGCTACTGGTACCACCCTGCCACCCTGAGACCTGGAGTAAGGTTGTGGTCCTTGACCCTCTCTCACCTTGCCATTGAGGCTGAACACC